ATGATTCTTTTTTCCAAAAATACACAACAGACACAAACTACAGTATACTGATTGTAGGATTTGTTGAATCAAACAATACCAAACTTCTGGTCTTATTTAGAAACCCTGATCTGGAGTCTTTGATGTTTCCCCCAATAGGAATGGACACCATGAGTACATTAAAAAATGCCACCTTCAATATATAGCTAGGTCCTGCTTGTATTGGTACTAGTCACATTGTTGCTTTAGAGAAGAAATTTTCAAAATTAGAACCAGATACTGGCCACCAAAAAATGTAAATGTGAGAAATATCCATCAAAAACCACAACCTTTCCATTGAATTTCTCCCCTTTTTTAAAAAGAAATAAGTGTGTAAAGGCTTCCTCAGATCTTCTACACCTTGATGATGGCCAAAGACAAATGGACTCACTCACATGGAATGGAAACACCATGCTAAGCAATCAACCATTGCACTACCAAAATATGCCAGAACAAGGACACTGGAATGGTAAATTAGAGCATTTCTTTAAACATGACAATTTTCGAAATCATGGAATGATCCACATGCACTGTTTTACCTACATGGAAAAAAGAAACATCTCACTTAATGTAATCCATGCAGAGATTCCATCATGGAAAAACATTGTATAATTTGGTCATGAAGTACCAGATTACACCATTGTAACCATCAAATGGAGAACCATGTTCCCTTCAGTGTTGTGACCAGAAACTCTTTTGGCTTTCCGAAACGTTTCGGTAAATGAACTTACACTAAGCAGAAAACCAAAACCAAAACCAAAACTAAACATAAAATACTAACCTAAACTAGTTTCAGGTGGTTTCTGTTAGTTTCTGTTTCTGGTTTTCCCTAAACTCAGAGTTTCGGGTCATAACACTGGTTCCCTCAGCCACAATCAGACAAAACCTATTGCTCACCCAATGCCTATTGTCATGTAAAGCAAGAAGACAGGACGGTCATCCCTGATATGGAACAGTCACATAAATTTTCAATATGTGATGTCCATAGGATTTTGTGAAATACATTACAAATTTGACAAATACTGAAAAAATATCATGATGAGGAGACTAGGTGGATGACACTTTGCTCCTGTACCTAGTAAACAGATATTCCACTACTTCTCTTTTGCACCCTCTGAATACCATCTAAGATCTGTGAAGCTGATGCACTTGCTAAACAAGAAAATTGACATTGAAAGTGATGAGGAGTGGTAAGAGCAAGTAATCCTTGCTGTAATGAGTTAGATTCATTGTAAAGATTTTGAGCATCTTGAACTTCTGAGAAGGTTTCATTTAATAGCTTTGGATCACATGATTGACACCATGAATAATCGGTATTATATCTATTGCAGGTTGGACATTCCCCATAACTTTCATTTCTTTCATAAGAATATTCATCACTTTGAAGACTTCCATCTTCCATGTAATGCATTACAGAGGAATATTCTTTTGTAATTGGATCTTGTGTTAATCCATAAATATAAACTTTATCATGAAAATTTCTGAACTATATAAAAAAATATATATATTGAATTCCAGAATAATATTTAAAAATCTGAAAATAAATAGAAAAATAAAATAATTTACCTCATTGAGAAATTCATCAGAAATATTCTGTGAATTATGTAATTTTTTTAATGCCACTAACATATCTTTACTAGTTTTTTCATTATCACCATTTACACTTTTATAACCATTTAACCAAGTAGCTTTGGATATAGTTGCAAACTCACCTTTGCTTATCTTTTCAATATTTGTTAAATCATTATAAGGAATCCATTGGAGATGATTACTATAATAATACTTAGTTGCTTTAAGTTGAGTACTTTTAATCAACTCATCTAATTTTTCATTGCCACTAGTCCATCCTTCAGTTAATAGCTTTGGATCACATGATTGACACCATGTCTCATTGGTATTATATCTATTGCAGGTTGGACACTTCCCATATTTTTCTCTTCTTCCTTTTGAATATTGATCTTCATAATCTTGAAGACTTCCATCTTCTATGTATTTCATTACAAAGATATATTCTTTTGTAGCTGGATCTTGTGTTAATCCACAACTTTTATTTATAAAACCTTCACCATAAAATGTAACATAATTTCTGAACTATATGAAAAAAATATATATATTGAATTCCAGAATAATATTTAAAAATCTGAAATAAATAGAAAAATAAAATAATTTACCTCATTGAGAAATTCATCAGAAATATTCTGTGAATTATGTAGTTTTTTTAATACCACAGTCCTATTCTTGCTAGTTCTTTCATTATTATAATTTGCAATTTTATAACCATTTAACCAAGTAGCTTTGGATATAGTTGCAAAGCCACCTTCATCTATCTTTTCAATATTTGTTAAATCATTATAAGGAATCCATTGAAGATAATATTTATTATCATACTTGGTTGCTTTAAGTTGTGTACTTTTAATCAACTCATCTAATGTTTCATTGCCACTAGTCCATCCTTCAATTAATAGCTTTGGATCACATGATTGACACCATGCCTTATAAGTATTATATCTATTGCAAGTTGGACATTCCCCGTATTTTTTGTTTCTTTCCCTGGAATATCCATCGTCATTATTATTTTCAGTAGAAGTATCATCAGTATCATCATAATATTTTATTCTTACAAAATACATGATTATTGTATTATTTGTCGAAAAAATTTTTTTTCTAAAAAGCCACAAAATATGTGAAATTCAAATTAGCCAATCAGAATTTCATATACAAACACCCTACCCCAAAATTTTAATTATAAATTTCGATTCCACATAATTTTTTGATCTCGATCTTGCATTCTTATTGGTCAATTTAATGATCTGCAAAGTCAATCGGTCAACTTTTAAAGATTTTACGAAAACCACAAGGTCAACTGGATATATAGATCAATCGGCTGCGTCTCAAAAATTTTCAGCTATCAATAGCCGAAAAACCGCTTAAGGGATAATATTAATATTGACATGTCCTGCAGATCAATGGTAATGGTAAATTAAAGAGTAATAGTAATAAATAGTAATAATAATAATAATAATAATATAGAAGTATTCGTGAATATCCACTTTATATTAATAATAATATGTTTTCTAGTTCCGAGTCAAAAAAAAGATTCATTTATTAAAGATGAAAATCTTTAGAAATGAGACATAAACTAATAATTATGTTGTAAAGATTCTTTCTAAAATAAAAATAAACTCTAAAACTTCGACCGAATGCTCGTAAAAAACAAAATCAATAAAGTTTCAATTGCCAGTCAATTTTTTCACTATGTTCATACTATTTTTACCAAGAATTTAAGCAAAATGAGATGTCCAGGATTAATTAACTAAATCAAATTAGATTATAATATTACCGTGAATCTAAATCGTCAGCAATCTATGTACTCAAATTAAGTAACTGGAAAATCCTGCGTTATAATTACAGTTAACCGGTTAGAAAATCTAAGCAATGAATGTGTCAATCTCTAAAAAGAGCAAGCAAGTTTCTGAGCCTTTTATATTCATATGATTGGTTGATTGTTTGATTCAATGCTGAAGATGAAAATGACAAAGTCAACTTTTAATTTAGGCCCAACCCTAGATAGTTCAATCTTATAGATAAAATTATTTGCTTCGTAGGTTCAATATTTATATCACCTGTCTCTCTTTATTGAATTGGGAGGTTGTAACATTCATCACAATCACAGATAACCAGCCTGATTAAATAACAAAGCTTTCGATTCTCGTGTAGTATCCTTTTGGGAAAAATGAGTAGCCCACTGCAATCGTGCCCTTTAGAAAATAACTTGCATATGAGAATGCAGTACGTAAATATTAAGAAGAATTGCCAATAAAATAAAAGACACCAATAGGTATATGTAAAAGAGAAAGGAGAATTGAATAAATGAATATATGTTTGAACAATGGATTTCAAGATCTTGGTTAATAAGGAAAATTACTTCTCTGTTTTCCACTTCTAGAAACACATTTTTTCAACTGGCTCTCTGAATACTTTTCTATGCAGTGGATACACAAAATAAGCAAAACAAAGTACAAGATGTTTTATCAAAAAAAGAAACTCCTGGTACGTTTATTATTATTATTCGGCCCTCTATAATTCAATCGGAAATTTTAAACAAAAAAGGCAAAAAATCGTCGTATCGATTTCTTTTTTTTTTTTTTCTCAATCTCACAATTATTATCAATAAAAAAATTTTTTATTTAAAAACTTAAAATTATGTATAGAATCACACGACATCCTAATTGTATTATCAGAATACCATCAATTGATGTAATGTCAATGAAAACAAAATTATCTACCACTGTTACTGCAAGATATTATTATTTATCAAGTTCAACTAGACATGTAACAAATAAACAACAGCAATTACCAAGAATAATAGTTCAGGTTAAGATTATTTTCTATATATAATCTTCTATATATGCGTAATATCTTTAATTTTAAATAATAATAATAACAATGACAATAATAGAAGAATAATTTTTCAACCAAGGATGATAAAAAAGAACAAAAATCTAA